TTTTTGGACTGGTGCGATTCCACCGGTTCGATCGAGTCCTGACATGTTGGCATGAGAACCAACCTCTTTTCCCGAAGGCCTTGAGCCTACGGCTCGCCCAAGCAAAAAGGGTTTGCTGCTGAGCGCGGCAACGGTTTTTGTCCGGCTTGCCCATAAGCTGGGCATCTTGTGTTTTCGTTCGAAGCCATCTACATCCTAGTGTTTGTGATTGGCATCACCCACTACCCATAGGGGGTTTAGCACTCCTGCTACCGCAAGTCTCTATAGTTTCAGAAACGCAAGTTTCTGAATCGTAGTTTCTGAATCGTCTTCTGTTCCCTTGGAATTGCCCAACTCCTCTCGCCGACAAGTGGGAGTGATCCTTTGAGGTTGCAGGTCTTAGGAGAAAATATGCTCAAATGGAGATGGGTCGCTAGTCTCCACCTGCACCACCTCCACCCACCAAAACAAACATGAAGGTTGCAACCAAGGAAAATAATGCTTTCCAATAGCTTTTGGAAGACTTCATGCTTTCACCAGCCAAGTATCTCTCACCTTGTGTGATGAGGATCTTGTAGGTCTCTTCTTTAGGATTGCAGCGGAGGCCCGGGTAGCAGCACGCATCCGGTGTGTTCCGAGGTCTGCCAGCGAAGACTTGTTTGAGCGCCTGGAGCCCAACGAGAAAGCCAGGCAAAAGCTCTGCTAAGCTACCAGGACCAACCTACTAGCGATGGCCTCCAACTAGGACCATGGAGCGCCCACGGCTACCTATCCCAGCCGACACATGGCCGACGAAGTCGCGAAGACGCTGACTGACAGGTGCGATGGCAAGGCTTCTTCGGCACCATTGATGTACTGCTCTTGACCGAACCACCAGTGGCTTTACGAAGGATTAATTTTAGACTACAACACCAGGTCAACAAATATGTTGAGTGTTTGAAGGTCAGGGTATCTGTCCAGCAACTCTTTTGGGGGTGCTTCTCGGTCTCGAATGGATTTGCTGTGGTCTCGGGTGTTCTGGTCCATTTGAAGCTCCGAGAAAGCAGAACTCTGTCCGGCCTTGGAACTGAGGTTCTTGCGGCCTTGCAGGAAATTACCTCGGGGCGAAGTCGATGGTCTCCACGAAGAATCGACGAACTGGTGGGAAACCTCTGTATGTGTGAGAGAAAACTCGTCCTTGATAGAAAAATGTATAAAAAAGATAGAACATGTCCTCAGTATGCTCTCACGATCCCACCAGTACCACACTACTGAATCTCAATTTATGAACCATGCCAACGGATCTATGTTCTTAGACCCACTTAGAAAGGATACTTATCATCTGAATCACCACCATTGATATGCTCTGCTCTTTCTTCAAGAGAACTCCAACTTGTCAAAGCCCTGAACAAGAATAACTCAGGGTGAAAAACCAAGTGTCCAATCCTGACGCTAACAGAACATGTCTTTCCAAAGAGATCTCTTTTCCTCTGAAGCTCCAGTTTCCCAAGAAAATGCCCTGAGAACGGGCCCAGCAGCTTTTGAACAGCACCACCACCCCGAGCACACCAGACGCAGCCATCAACACCCAACGTGGAGGGCGACGACAGCGCAAGCACCGGCGCTCCGCACATGTAGCGTCCATGAATGAGCCGAATGAATTCGCCATGAACAGGGAGTGCAGCTGTACAAAAAGTAGATCAGATCCTCGAAAATCCTGTGGATCAGGTTTCTTGGGTGCAGGGTCTTCGCTGAGGTGCGCTGCCTGCACCGGTGAAAAAGAGGTAGCTGATATGCACAAACGATTTCAGCGACTTTCCGCTTAAGGGGACTTGGAGCCAGGAAACATCTTGAGCTTTTGAACACATTTGGTCACTGAACTTTAGAGTGGAGGTGGGACCTGACATCGTTCGTGGCAAAAGTCCGCTGATGTCTTCTTTACAGCTTTGAACTCAGCCAAATCTAGGGAGGTCTCTGCAGCGGGTTTTTATGCACTATGGGAGCTCCAGGCGAAGTGCTCTGGGCAGGTCGCCACGCAGCGCCTTGATACTCCACATGGTTCGTTCGAAAGAGCCGGTCCGGGCTTTGCGGGTCAATCCTGCTATCAGCAATCCATGTGCTTGTGGATGTGTGTCCTTGATGCATCAATGGCTGCAGTCGTGACCTGTGCTTTTCTGATTGAAAAAAAGAAACGGTCCAGAGGGCTCGAAATTGGCAGGAAAAAGGCGTGTTCTCAGTGTCTCGGCTAGACATCTTTAATAGACTTCTTTGGTGCCAAATGGGAGCACATGAGGATTTGACAAGATCTATTGTGGTGTAGGTCGGCCCCTTGGCTCCTTTAGCCTGTAAAGGGCAAGGGGGGCTATCTCCAATGAGCATCCCCAGCTGAGACCTCCCAAGTCATCGCCCCGAAAGAAGGAAAATAGACCAGTCAGTCTACCTTTTATTTTTTGTCTCCCTATTAAAATACACACCCACACCCACATGGGCTCACATGAACGACTGCCAAGGATCTTTGATAGAGCCGCTCCGCCGCATGGTGTGCCTTGTCTTCAAAGGCCTTCAAGAAATCATTCCTGAAAGAGACGTTCTTCGGCCAGAGGGAGAAAGAACACTTGCATGTTGAGGAGACCACCAGACTGTCAGGGGTAGTTTGTCGGCGCGACAGACGATATCTGCAAGTGCGTGCACATGCTCAATGCACTGAAGTGTGTCCTCCCACCCCTGGCCGTCATGAATTGTTCGAAAGGCGCTTTCGCGCAGGGCCGGAATCCCAAGAAAACCGAACGATCGGCTCGGGAGAGATATCTGCATCAGCCTTGGGATTGTGAAGGAACATCACTGGCGCTCTCGTCCATCAACAGTAGCTGGGAAAATGCACCAGATTCCCTTCATGTCCCAGCAGCCCAAACCACCTCGTCCAAAAAACAATTCCGACCGTCGCTGGCATCCTCTTCCCAGCCGACGGTGTCGGCAGTTAAATTGGACCGTCAAGTCGCACGAAGGTATCGGAGGAATTCAAACCCTCCTCGGAGCAGTGCCGGCTGGAGAATCATTTCTCTGATTCTGGGCAGCTTGTGATGCAAAAAACATCGGTTCTTTTCTATGTCCGGACTGGCGATGCGACATTGAATATGTATTTGTTTAATTAGGTATTCATATATAAGTATATAATGTAACCTTATGAGACTCTGAGTGATCTCTATTTTGGACCACCAGCCGACCAGCCACCCAAAATATGGTTTTCTCCTATCAAAACAGGGGTCAAATAACTTCTGGGTGTATGAAATGAGCCGTAATTGGGGTTTACACCAACGGTTTAATGGTCGGTACCCTCCTCCGTTCCTGACATACGAATGCACAAGGGGTGCTGGAACATGATTCTCCGGTTGAGCGAGGGAGGAAACATCCAACGAATCCACCACTCAGACTCACTAACATGGAAGTGGACAATCCCCTGCTCGCAAAGTAGTCTTCCAAGGGACCATTTTTCACTTCCATGTTTGTGTGTGTCAGAGTGTAACACCAGCCCTGCGAATGGACCCTCGCAAATCTACGAGTGGGACGGGTTGGGGCCTATGGTGCAAGAAATTTAGAGATTGGAAGGGTGGGGGAAAAAACAACATGAAAACACCTTCGGTTCTCCCGCACCTCTGGTACGGTTCGTCGGAGATCATGGTGTTGGGGAGACCTTTCGCTCAGTAGCTCCAGCGTCTAGGTTTTCGGCAACCGCTTAAGTTGGTGGGGATGCTCAACAAGTGCGGTTGAAGGGGAGCAAAACCATCAAAAAATGTCATCCAAACATGGCCTCGGGTCTGCAACCCCATCCCAAAAGCTGATTTGGTGGGTGACCAGCTGCATCTTGCTGAATCTTGCTTGTAGGAAGGGTGCACGTGACGTGAAGTTCCGGCACGGGGGCAAAGCCCCTCCCTTCGCCCAGTTCTTGAAAGGCCGAGGGTCCGAAGCGGCAGACATGACCTCGGAGTCCAGATGGTTCTTCGGAGTCTGCAGAAACTGTCGAGTCAGAGTCAGATGGTGGTGTGGTGGTCTGTTTGAAGGTCCATTCATCTAGGCTTGTTGAGGTGGGTCAAGAAGCTCCAAGAACTCCAAAATGTGTTCATTCAAGGTGAAGGGTTGCCACACTTTGTTCATCTGGAGAACGCAGAATCGCCCAAAGCGGAGAGTGATTGAATGTTTGTCCCTTTTCACTTGCTCAGCTCATCCGTTGGTCTTAGTCTTGGCCATGTAGTAGTGTCTCTTGATGTGCTCTGACCGGGGCTGGGAAAGGACTAGGAGCGCCTAGGGCCGCTACGAACGGGGCGCGCCGGCCTGACCGCGACCAACAACTCCGGAAAGCGAAATCCCACCAGGTCCGGAAGGCCCGGGTTTGTTGGCCGTGGGTGATCGCATTCGGACCAACACCGGGCCGACCCTTCTCGTGGGTCTGAGCGGAAGAGTTCTGGCACCACAGAAGCCAAGTGAAAAACATTAAGAAAGACCACGAATCCCCTGAAGACTCTGCGATTGTGCGGGTCGCCCACATCGCTTCTACAAGAACCTGTAAGATCCATCTCAGGTGTGCGACTGGAATTCGATTCCGTCCAGGAAGCAAGCGGCAATCAGGATTCTGAAAACGGCACGTAGCATACTATAGAAACGATGGATTCCAACTGGAGGGGTGCTTGACTGTCTCGTGCAGGAAAACCGCTGTCCATCAATCCGTGTGAGTGCATTTGGAAGGGACTCTCTATCAATCTGATGAAACATGACGAAGTGCTGCAATCGTATGTGATTCACACTGCCGGATCCACAGACCTCCTTCAGAAGGAGGCTTCAGGTTGGTCTGGAGGGTCCGACGAGCAAGTTAGTTCCGAGCAAGTCAGCTCCTACCTTCTGAGGAATGCATTGGGTATGCGGTATGGGTCTTCTCTGGTGGTTTCTGTGTCTTGTGGGTACTTCGTCTGACCGGGGCCGCGAGCTGCTGCAAAAAGCGTCTTAAAGTTCCTCACTAACGAAGCAACTGTGGCACCTCTTCAGATACCTTCTTTCGGGTCAAATCCATGCCGTATAGTGCAGACTGCCCACATAACTCAATACACGGGTCACATGGCTGGACAGCCCATCACCCCAAAACGGAGGGTCAAGGTATAGCCCTAGCCTGCAAGGTTGACCTGGTTGTGTAGTCAAGAATCCTTTTTAAAACAGAAAACCATGGTTATTTGGTACAAACCATTCCTAAATCAATGGTACGTTGGAATCCCACCAAACCAGAATGGTCTGTGTGTACGTCGGAAACGGTCCCCGTCTGCCAGTCTCGGTCCATGGCACGGAGGACATGGGTTCCGATGAGGCAGAGGCGTCAGTCCTCAGAACGAACACAATCTCGTGTTTCGCTTTGGAATCAGAAACAAGTGCCACGCTAGTAGCAACAGGTGCCTTACTAGTAGTAACAAGAAGCTAGTAGTAACAAGTTGTCAAGGATCCAGGTTTGCCATTCGTTGTCATGGTTTGCCGTTTGCTGACGTGTTTTGTGGCCTGGTCTTTGGCAAGTTCCGATGACACTTTAGATCGACCTACAGGCATATGACACCCACTAGGCCTTCTCTCGCTGGATGGGCTACAACACCCTGCCCCAGCTGCCACACGCATAGTATGGCCCCGCAGCCTTCAATGGGTGTGTGCATCCAACCCGCAAACGGCAATCTTGCCAATTCATCAAACCGAATGGTCATTATTACATGTCCCAAATGCCCCCGAAAAAAGAAAGGAGGATTCACTACACTTTTGTTGGCTCTTTGGAACAAAGCTTTGCTTCCTTTTGCCTATGTTCAAACCCTTCAACCATCAAGGCCCGCTTCGGGATGAAGCAGGGCTTTCATCCCCCAAAATCCTCCCCAACCAACACCAAGTGGCTGCGTGCTCCGGCGAATGCCCAGCTGCATAGCTTCCGCTGTGGTAGGCTTCCTCGGATTAAACATCACATTCTGGTTGGTGGTTTCAACTCACGAACAAAAATATGTACACTCTGTGGGTTCAATCATCAAGTCAAGGTTGTAATTAAGCTTTTCCGAAACCACCACCTGGAATTTGATAGTGCTGCTAGAGAAGCATAGGAAGACGCCCTGGCAGATTTGTTCCTCTATGGCATGAGCGCGGTCCAGCTACCCGCTTATATAGGTTAGTGATCCGAATCCCTGCTGCCATGAGGCATGAGGCACCCCTTCACACGAAACAGGGTGCGTGTTTGCACCCAGGGAAAAAGAAGTGCACCCCGCCCACAAAGCATTTAGGACTCAATCTTCCCGCTGGTTGATGAGTTCTTATTCGGCATGGGATACCATGGGTGATCTGCGATCAACCACCGAGTCATGATGCGGAGCAAAGCCGAGCAAAGCTTTCACCTCTCTGGGCAATGAGACTTTGGTCAGTTCCAAAGGAATGGGTCTTGAGCCCCTCAATGAGTGGATGCGAAAAAATAATCGCTCAAGTTGCCCAAGTTAGGCGTACGAACTGCAACTTGAGCGATGGATCGCACCGAACCTCTTTCGGTCTCATCCGGTCGACCTCTTCGAAGGCACCTAACTCATATCAACAAAAAAATATTATAACAATAAACAATAATGATAATAGTAAAAGTACATTTACATTATATCACTCTGCACCCTTGTCACTCACACCATGCGAAGGAAGCCTCCCCGGTCGACCCGTCGGCTCCAAGCATCGCGCACTCGCCCTCGGGGCTGGCCGCCGGGATCGGCCGGAGGGCGTGCTGCAAGCCGCGCGGCTCCTGCCGGGAAGCAAAACCCAAAGGGCGGAACATGTGGACAAATCGACCAACAATAGGAAGCCTACCAACGGCACAAAGGGCATCGCTACGAACGGAGCGAAAGGACGCTACGAACGTAGCTCCTGGCATCGCTACTAGTAACAAGAACGCTACTAGTGGGATGAAGAGTCTGCGGAGCCCAGTAAACACAAGGCCGTGAGCAGCTGAGATGCGGCCGTTGGAACCAGGTGACAAACAGTCGTGGATGTCCAGTGACACCTATAAGGGGACTGAGGGAGAAAGAGAAGTTTCATCGTACTGGATCATTGTGTCACTATGGTAGGCCTCGCGAACATTCGAAAACCCTTTAGCTTGAAAGGAACAGTTGCCAGAAACTTGAGCGCATGTAGCATGCTACGTGTTTCTCTGAATGTTCATGAATGGACTTGGAAGCTGATCAAACCATGTTTGAGCTCTGAACATCCATTCACCAGCTGGTGTACGGGCTCAGCTGAGTCAGCTGGAGCCCGAGCCGACCGATGTACAGCGCTCGGTGAAGACGCTCGGTGTAAACACGGTGGGAGATCGGGAACGCGACGTGCAGCTGGAGACCTACCAAGCCAATGCGGTGCTGCACTGTGCTGTGCCGAGTTCCAATGTCCGTCATCAGAATTGGCAATTCTGATAACGTTGTTGTCACTCTGCAAGTCATAGGTGTAAATCATAGACAAACAAAGGTCAACACCGCAAGCCATTGGCAAAAAGTGGTTGCTTGGGGCACACACCAGAGAGTTGGAAAAAGGATGAAAAAGATAGGTATAGAGTATAGAATAATGCATTCACAATTGCGTATTACTCTTGATATGAGCGTGTTTGCATGACTTGTATCATGGAAAAGTGTAAGTTCGTGTCGAACGAACTTGGTTATCGGTATGTGTGAAACAATTCCAATGCACATAGGCGATATGAACTCTTGCTTTCACCCTAGCGGGGACAGACTGTAGATGCCTTTGGGGCAAAGTGCATTTTTTGAAGCGGGCCGCATTACACCAACAGCATCACAATAGGCAAGTGCTAAGAGATGTTGGATACCCATGGCGGTGCAAGCTGCCTGTAGTGGTGTGTGATGGCCGTTGAGCGGATTGATTGAATCCAGAATTGTGGCAAAGAGTTATGCAAGATCAATGTCTTGATAGGTGCAAATGTACCACCAGCGTATAGACAACTAAGTATATGAGTGATCGAACATGTTTGAACCCTTGGCGCATGTGATGTTTTTTCAGAAATTAGTGTTGCCTTGATGTATGTTTCATGCGTTTCCCAGAGCGTCAAATGAACAAGAACTGGCCGTCATCCAAAGCATGGCCTGGCCCCTGGGTCACCAACAAGTTTGGAACGAATTGGTCCTCGCTTTCTTCGTTGTTTTCAGCTGGTCAGCTTGGAGGTCCAGGTCCCCGACGAGTCATTTTCCAAGCAGAGCCAGGAGGCACGAAGATCAGTTGACCCAAAAAGTCCCCAGTCTCCGCTGATTCCACCAGACGTTTCGCCCCGTTTTCGGTGGCCAGTCCAGTGGGACGCCCCGTGCCACAGTCTTCAGCAAGGCAGTCCTGAGGTCCAAGGGGGGGGGTTCTGTGGAGACGTCGTACTTCTTCGAATTGGTTCTTCTGTGAAGAAAACGATCTGGTTTTGGAAAGCCATAGTTTGGAGTGAAAACCAAACTTCCCTTGAACATCTTGAACCAATCCACATAACGGTGGGAGGTGCACCGTTTTCTGTTTTCAGACTCCAAGGGGGTGACCGGTCGAAGACGGAACTGCGTCGGTTGGCCGAGAGGACCGTAGCGATGGCGATGGCCACCAACCGTCAGAAGTGGTGGACTCCAATCTAATAGTAATGGCCTCCAACCTAAAGGCGGTGCAGGAAGAAATTCCCAGTCAGTTTCTGAACCCGTGGTTCTAGTTTCTGATTCCTAGTTTCTGAAGCGGGGCCAGTTTCTGAACTTGACTTTGTTCACCCTGCAGTAGTGTTGGTTGAAAGGAATGTTGCTGATCCTCATGTAATAGGAGTAGAGGAGCATTCTGGGCCCTGAGCTCTTCTCCCAACCTGCGCCGCCCCTGTTGTGCTTTGAAGCCACTGGCTATGCTGGCCGTCTCCATCATCAGTTTTTGGGATTTGGAGGAGTTCCCATTGTTCCCATGCCCGGAATCATCTGACCGCTGCTGATCTTTGTACTCGCAAGCTGCAAACCAACCCAGTAGGAAATCGCTCGGTTTGCTTCCGGAAGGATCCTTCCGCCTCCGGCAGATAGAGCAGCGCTAGCAGCTAGTGGCAGCTGGTAAGTCTTTAACACCAGCAACATTCTGCATGTCCAACAACAACTTCTTGGATGTTGAGGGGTCTCTGATTGACCACCCTTTCATCTTTGGCTCCATCCTCAGCACCCCATAGCCCCCCGGCGGTGTTTCTCGTCCCACCCCTGCCCTGCCCCCAACGGATACAAAATGATGCAAAGGGGCTGACGTTCAAAGTGGCCATGGATCACGGATTTCAGCTTCTCGAGCTCTTCGAGCACCTGGAGTCAAGAGTCCACCGGAGTCGGCGTTTCTCGTGCTGATGCCGTGGCGCAATAAAAGGCCGTGTTGGTGGATGGTTCGCCATCTGCAGAGTGGAGGTTTGGTTGTAAGGATTTGCATGTGCCAGTGGAAGGCAGTAAAAGGCCCAGCCAAATGAACCTGTTGAAATGTTCCTTGGAGATCCCAGTTCGAGCACTTCGGAACCGACCATCACCGGTCTCCCGTGGGCATTTTGGGCTTTTGGACTCGCTCTCGCTCAAAAGGGACACAGGGAGACCTCCGCGATCACCCCAACTCCAGCAAGCATTCGGGACCCAAAAATGGGAAGGATGGCACTGCCACGGATGGCCTAAAGATTCTTACAGGGTAGGACTTGTTATGGTCTCCACTGGAGCCAGGAAACATCTTGATTTAGAAACCTTTGGTCGCTGAACTGCCATGGGTCCAAGGATTCAGCTGTGAGGTTCCACCGTTCCTCCACCGAAATCGAGTCAGACCCACTCGGCACCACCGGAGTTCGGCCTTCTCCTCCATGGTCAAGGCTGACTCCTGACCGCCGCAGGTACGGCCACCGAGTGCTGAGGAGCACCACCGACCAGTCGACCCACCGGAAAAAGCTGTATAAAATGACGAGTATTCGTGGTCTCCATCCATGTATGCGTCTATATATATATATAATATATATATAATACATTCATATATCAGACCATCCATGGGAGTTGCAAAGGGGTCAATGTAGGCATGAATTTCAGACATAAGTGGTATGAAATGGTGTTCAAGAAAGCTCTTGCTTTTCACGGAGAACTCTTCTGGCATCTACTGAGGGGTTTTATTTGGTATTTACCTTCAAGGATGTTGTTCTCCCTTTGGGCAGCACGTTTCAATCCGGAATCCCGCACGACGTCTGTGCGCTTGGCGCCGATCACTCGGACGGTCTCCTGGTCGCTCGGTGTCCCGCCGCTCGGTGACCGCTGCGCAGCGCACTCACTGCAGCTCTCCATCAGCCGCGTCGCGTCGCGTGGGGCGTCGCTGAGGTCCATTCGCGTCGCGGGAGGTTGGCGCGGACGACGGTCACCCCCTCCACGACTTCTTCCACCCCCGGAAACCCAGGACCAGAAAACCGACGGTCACAGGGGTTCCGTCCGTGTGACGGTCCCACGGTCACGGACAAAACGGACCCGGAGCCACGCCATCGACGACACCGTCGTATAAGGCCGCTAGCGGTATAAAATCTCTAAGCAAAACAACGGTTGTTCGGTATAACACATTAATTGAAAGGTGGTTGGAATTCCAGGGACCAGTTTTGGTCCCTGGTGGTGACAACTGAAGGGGAAGGAAAAGCGGTCAAAGGCCGGTGGCGATCGCAAATCCATGAACCACGTCAGACCGTGAGGAACTTAGTAGGTCTTCCACGCCACTCGGCGACTGCAGTGGTTTCAGCGTAGATTGCAAAATCCCCAAAGGTGGTTTTAATGGAACCCCCAACTGAAGAACATCTGTGCCATCTACTCTCAAACCACTGTACACTTCAAAAATAGAAAAGGTGAAAAAGTGGAGCACAAACTGAGACCTCTGGATTGAACGGAATATGGCCTACCACCGGATCCACCTGGACCTTCCTGTCGAGACTCTCTGGTGTCCCCCATTCGGTCTTCCACAAGTCAGGTGATGAATGGAGGGTGCTGGGAATGCTACTGGTTAGGTGATGAATGCTACTTTGGGTACAATACCTTGCTCACCATCGTTCTCAAGCATGACCATCGTCCTCACTCCGCTCGCTGCCGCTCGCGGCCTCGATGGCTTCGGTCTGAGGCTCTTCCTCTCTATCCGTGTCCAAGGGCGGAGGCAGGTGCTCCGGCCTCAGGTGGATTCAGCAGGTGTGGATTCCCCGCACCCATCGGACCATCTTTTTGTCTGGGCGAAACCCAGTTTGGGGGGAAAGAAACACTGCGATGCCTTCCTGTGCATCGCATGGTGAGTTGTTGACCTGTCGGGGTCTGTGCGGAAATTGATGTTCCGAATCACTGGAAACGAAAGGGCCACTGTGGTTGAATAGGGAGACCCCCAACCAATGGATTTTGGTCTATATATGTCTGCTCTTCCAGGGGATCTTCGGGGGGTCTCCCTATTCTAATACACTACGCAACCCATTCATTCCGACCGAATGGCATCCGCTATTCAGTGGATCCCATTGATAGATGCACCTTCCAACGTCACTTCATCTTCCATGCCCAGTTCCATCTCCCTTTCGTTTCACCTTCTCCCAGTTTCGTTTCACGGTACCTGTTCGTTGAGAGTCTCCCAGGCGGATTCGAGTTGGCTCTAGGATTGAAATGGGCGTGTAGCTCAAATAGGGAGACCTCGCAGTTCGACCCCCTGGAAGAAGGAAAATACACACCCAAAATCAATCAAATAGCTTTTTAAGCTCCGTGATGACCTATTACTCATTCGTGGTATTCTTCCACTGTTGGAACCTGGAAAGTGGCGTTTCTCCCTGAGCAACCGACCTGGCGCCATAAAACCTGCGCAGAGGGCCTCGGCAGAAATCCCCTTCGCATTCTCCTCCGGGCGACGGCAAGACGTCTGAGGAGGAGGAGGCTGGCAACGTTCCTGGTGCCTGGCGAGAAGAACAGCGATGGAGTGGACGGACTGATGTGGGTGAGGCGGTCCTTTTCTTAGGGAGATGCAACGACCCCCAAAACCATCCAAAAACCCCCTACCGATACACACCCATGTATAGGAGAAACTTGGAGAAACCCTCCTGTCATGAAGAAGAAAACAGATTGGCATGTTCGTTCTTCATAGCCGAAATCACCCGCTAGCATTTGCCTGCGCCACTAGATATGGCCGCAATGAGCCCGACATAGGCTGGGTTGACATGTTTCATCTGTTGATGATGCAAGAAATGCTGCAAGTGGCAAAGCATGCCCTTGCATGGTAGCCTTTGTGGATAAAACTTGTTTGTATCGTGCTCATGAGTTTCAACAACAAGTTTTGGTGTGGGCGGTCTCCTTTGCACTTTGTGATGCGAGAGACGGAGGGGATGTTCGACCTTCAGTCGCAAGTCCCTGCATCGGGATAAACAGAATGCCTGTCTGAGTCTGACCATTCCAAAAACATGCTGTTCACAAAAAACAAGACAAACAAAAACCACCAGCACCACACTGTTGACCATCCAATCACCACCCTTTGTGGTGCTGGAACATACTTGTCATGATCTGAAGAAATCCGATCCAACCGTCGCAACTGACTTGGCCTCGGCAAGGCTTTCCTCTTCGTGCATGGCCTCCTAGTGCTGGTGGCCGGTTGTGGCAAGCCAGGGGCCCAGAGCAGTAGTCAATGGAAAAGGATCACCGGTTGAGGAAACTCGATGGTCATCAAATCACAAAAATACCTGCAGGTTTGGTGCGTTGAAGATGTGCCCGAAAACTCCCACGGCTGAAGTGGTACGGGCACTCTTAATACGCCTTGCTGAATTCAGCCTTCCCATGCGATGTTCCATCATTTTGAGTGACATGGAGGTGACAATCTAACCCCATCTTCCGTGACAACCATCAAGGCGTTGTTCATGTAGGGCCTCCATTCCAAAAAGTTGGGTGCATCAAATGAGCACGACCGTCTTTCAGGGATCCTCGTAACAAGACTGGGTGTTCAAAAGATGTAGAAGTTCTTGAGTCCTTCCTATGCCAGGGAAAAAAGTGAGACTCTGACTAGATGGTGAGTTCTTCGCTACTAGTAACAATGTTCGCTACTAGGGGCTCCTGGCATCGCTACTAGGAACAAGGACGCTACTAGGGGCTCGCTACTAGTGTCGCCGGTCAGTGGCCCATCCGCCAGTCAGACTGGTTGAGCCGTTTGACACGTCGCGTCGAGTCTAAAACGGCGGGGAGCTGCGTCAACTCGGTCGACCCGAGACGGAAAGCGGTTGGTTACAACAGACGGATGACCCACATCCATTCTTCCCCTTGAAAATGGATGATCAAACCTCCAGAAACCTGGGCAGTTCTGTTATTGCAAAACAACACCAGAACTGAAAGATGGTCTCCTCTAATCTGACTGGTGCTTAGCAAGGAATGAGGGAATGGATCCAAAGGAATCTATAGTGGAGGGTTCATTCCTTCATTCTCTACTTTCATCACACCAGGCAGTAATCCTTGAACCCAAGACAATCATTCCCGTGCGGCCGAGGTGCCTCGGCTGCTGCCTTTGCAGCTTCAGCCTGTGGATGGACCTTGGGTGTACGGGGACTGGGCAGTGGGGACACCGCAGGGTGGGACACCGTCGGACATGACCAGCTGGGACGCGCGTCGACTGGGACACCGTCGATGTGATACGACTCACGCAGCTTACGATTGTAAGTGGAGAAAGAAGTAATAGCTTCTTGTTACTACTAGTAAGGCACTTGTTACTAATAGCTTCTTGTTTCTAATTGAGTCTTCAGCTCCTTTGAACGAATTCCTATTTCACAGCTTGACTTGGTCGGACCCAATGTTGTTTGGTTGGATGGATCTTTTTGGGGGCTCAAGACGGGGGACTGTATTTCTATAGTGCCGTTGGCCGCTTGAAGTTCCGGTGTCTCAGGTTCCCGTGTGCCAAAACATGACGGGACGGACTGGCGCGGGAACCGGTGGGGAGATCGAAACCCCTGGTGTTCCTTTCGGCACAAAACCATCAAAAGCCACATTCACATTGAGTCGGAGCTAGTACGCACGGAACTGATCACCAGTTGAGACTTTGATGTTCACTCTGCGACCCAGTTGATACCTGGGTGAGAAGTTGATACCTGGCCGTTGCAAAGCAAATCGGATAAAGAGGGAGGTTCCCCTTCCACAACTTGATTCTGCTCGTTCTTCCAAACATACCAGTCCCTTTCTGAGACAGAGCCATGCCAGGAGCCAACTCATTCTGCGCGCAAACTCCCCGAGCCGATCGTTTTTTTTCATTTTCCATGCGGAAGCTTGGGGTTGCCAGCAGCTGGTCACTCCTGGCAGCAGCTGGTCACTTCAAGTCTTTCCTAGCGAAGCCTGAGTGCTTTTCCTGAAAAACCTCGGGCGTCTCCCTACACCGGATTGTCTGTGAGTCATATTCAAGTGTGTACATACGCACCTATAGACCCTGAGTGACCTCAATTTCGGACGACCAACCACCAATCATCCAAAATATATTGCTGTCCTATCAAAACAGAGGTCATGCCTGGTCGACCCGGTGTGCTTGGTGAAGAAGTCGATTGAGTCGATCGAAAAAGGTCGGTCGAAACATGCAACTCCTGTTCTCACGGAGTTTGTGGCTATTGGAAGGAAAAGAACATGAAGACATGGGAGGTCGATCTGGGAATACCCGAACTCTGTGGCCACAGTCCCAGTTCTCTTGGAACTCCTGCCAACTTTGGGGAACAAAACGTTCATGCCTCTGCAAAGGCGACTGTGAGGTCGCTGTTTCATGCGGGTCACGCGCAGGACCGACCGGGGACCGACCGATCGGGCTCCAAGGATCACGGACCGCATTCAAATGGCGGACTACACGTGGAGGGCTCAGCCCAATGCCAGATGTTGAAAATGACAGGAATGAGGCAACCAGCCTTCAAGGACCCTCATGTGGACCATGTCCAATCACATTGATCTACATCTATGCCATGCCCTTGAACCCTCCCCATCTCTCTTCTCATCCAGAAGCCTGCAACTGCCCCAGCCGACGCTCGAGCGTACGTCTCCCATCGCACGAATGGCACCTGCCCATCGGCCACAGCGCCATTCTCTGCCGGCGCGATGGGCTTCTGCGCGCGAGGCTGCGCGCGAGGCCCCGCGCAAGGCAATTTCTGTGAGGCCACATTAAGAATGAGCAGAAACCGACACAAGCCTGGCAACCTGCATGTTGGACCAGTAGTGCTCGATGGCACGCAAGTGTTGTGATTTCTCGCTGAAACGACATTTTGAAACATGCCTTCTCCGGCATTCGGAAATGTGGAAAGCAAAGCAAAAGCACTTAAAGCACAGGCAGCTGAGCGACCAATCCTTATAAGAATACCATTCATTCTGAGGGTTTAGAATGCCTCGTGGAAACCAGTTACCACTGCAAGGAACCCAGGGCTTCCAGATCCTTTAGTTTTCAGAACCACCAGCAATAGTGGATTGCTTCAATCCACTTGGGATGGATTATCAGTGGGATGATGGGAAAGGCTTGTGTGAGGCCACGACTTCAGAGGTTGAACAGCCCCTTTTACGCCCATCCCATATGTACCACTACAGGGCCCAAGTTCAGGTCTCGCAACCTCTCTTGCTTCGACCTCTGTGTTTCACACCTGTCAAGGTCTTCAAGCTCCGAAGCTTCCGGCGGCTGAAGTGTTCAGCCGCCGAATCAAATCCCCCCTGTCCGGCCAAGTGCAGGGAAACGACGTCCCTGCCCTGCGCTGGACCCTGTTTTGATATGAATGTTGGATCATAATTATTTTGGGCGGCAGGTGGTCCAAAATAGAGGTCACTCGGGGACTTCACATGCTTCAACCCTACAGATACAGCGACCTCCACTCACCTACCGGTCTGGCCGCAACTCTTCTTCGGGGATGCGAGTGTCTCTTTTGCAGCAGGTCCCAGTCTATCCCACAAAAATCATGCCAGCCCGGCAGGAGAAACCACCTGTGGTATGTGGGTGTGAGTCATGTCAAAACTGAACCGAATACATCCTAAAGGCACGGGATTGGGTGAACATCCTGACACCAAATTTCACATTCTGCTCATCTGCAACACCAGCCTTCACCTTGATCGGACGCCTCAGCAAGCCACGAACTTGGTGCCGACTCCGAGTGAGTGTTTGGACCTCTAGCGGTGCGTACCACCTCTGCCGGTTGCAACCGTTCCGGCCAACGGAACAACAAGGGGCCGACATATCAGCCACCTACATCGAAGAGTGGTCCTTCTGCAAACACCTGTGAACCAAGCTCGATCTCCCAAGTGCCCAAATTGTAGAACGCTGCAGTCCGGCTTGTTTGTACGGAACACCATGCAAATCCAGGAGGTTGGGACGTCCATGTGGAAAATGGAAAATCGTGTAAGTACAAAATGTACCCTCCATCAGTTACCATCATGTAGTGAGTCGAAGGTGGCAAGTTCGTGAGAGCCGCTCAGCTGCACCAAGGTGCCCTTTTGCATCAGTGCCGAAGTTCACACCGAAGACCAGGTCGCCGTAGAAGAGGCGGTCTTCCTGACGACCATTCACAGGCCGACCGATCACCGCGCCATCGAAAAACGCTCAGAGAGTGTCCTTCACTCTGTTTTTGCCCCACTTCGGCATAGAAGAAACGCCTTCCTTCCTTCATTCCTTCCTTCCTTCCTTTACCGTGCCGTACCGTATTGTACCGCACCACACCGCACCCTTCGTTGATGACTCGAACAAACTTCGTCAGCCGTGCAGGTCTCCTTGCGAGGCAACGGCCTCGACATCTTCTTGTAGGCCGCTTTGGCACCTTGGTGACCAAGAATGGTTGAGAGACCTGAACTAGGACCCTGTAGTGGTACATATGGGATGGGCGAAAAAGGCTGTTCATCCTCTTTGGCGATTGAGCTGCCCGATGATCGATGATCTTTGATCATCCCGATTGTTCCTAAGGCCTTCGGGTAGCATCGAATAATCTATATATATATTCTTTTTAATGGGTGTATAGGACAAGACGGGGCGTACCAAAGGCCACGAAAGAAGTTCTGTACTGTACAACTAAATGGATATCGAATGGAATATTTGTCTCTGGGTAACATTGAGAGAACCCGCCGTTGCCGAGCAACAAGTGCTGCACCGGTCCCACCCGAACGGACATGCATGGACCGGCGCCCAAGTCACGCTGTTCCTGCTCAGGATCCAATCCTTCTGGGCGATCGATGGGCCAAAGCTTGGCGTTGTTGTTCCGGCCAAACCTAGCCACCGGGCAGGTGATGCAGGTGGGCAAGTCGGTCTTTTCGGGCAAGACCGCAGACATCCGCAGACTGCACCCGCGGGTGTGGTGCTTTGGCCAAAAGACCCAAGATCTGCAGGTTTGTGCAACATTGGAACGACCGCAATGATCCAATGTTCCAACCTGGTCTGCAGCCGGGAAGCTCTTTGTACAAGCCGCGTGGGAAGCTCTTCTCCGCTTCCTTCAGAGCAGCCGCCTCACAGCGGCGTGCCCCCTGAGAGGGCCCTTCTGATTAAAGAAATCCAGAAAGCCGCGGCCGTATCAATGTCTGAGCCACATAGTTGTCCCAAAATACATAGAAATGCTTTCCAATGTTTACGGGAGATGACGTAGCGCCTTCTCTCTCCCTCCCTCTCTCCCTCCCTGACTCTCAATGTTGGGGTGACGTTGTAACAGGGTCTTCGTTCATCCAAGGTGGTTTTCCGATTTTGGCTTCTGAGACCCAAAAATCCTGATGCATTGAGACTCTGAGGCGTCGCAGAACACTCGCCGCGGCATGGCAGGCCGGACGTGGGAGAAGAGCATGGTGTACCGAACTTGGGGGACGCTGAAAAACCTTCCACATGGTCAAACAGGTTGCTAGATGCTTTAACAACCGAGTCAAGTTTCAAAATTACACTACTGAAAACTGGTCTTCGGTTCGAGTTGGAACGCTTCTGCCACGCTTCGGCCCCACATTCCGTCAATGAAACTCTGCCCAGCGGCGATGTCATCCCAACCATGCCTCAGCCGCTCCGTCCCTCTTCACGTGTGCGACGCCGTCGCGTCTGGGCCCCACCCCAAACGGGGCGCGACGCGGCATGTGTGGGCGAAACGGAGGAGTCGACAGCAAAAGGGTCCCTTCCACAAGACTCCAGGCATGTCCAACTTGATGGATTCCCTTGCTCCGAGGAAAATGGCCAAGACAACCTATTGCTCCTTCACGGAGATTGCAGGTCCCTCCGGAGGAGTACCACCCAACGTGTTTTTTATATTTACTCGTAAAAAGGTCGCTTGAAGTATGGGAGCTGCTAACGGACATGATCGAAGGCTTGTGCCAGTACAACTTCACGAAAAGAAAAATAGGAAAAGAACTTTCCCAAAAGTGTCTTTTCCAATGTCCCGCCGATGTCCCGCTTAGAAGAAAGAAAGCTCCCAGTCCGGAAAGTCCCAGCATCTTCTCCGCCAGCTCCCGGGAAGTCTCGCCCTCTTTGGGATCTTCGCCCTCGGGCATGCTGCGCTTCACATGTGGGTCGACGCCCGCCTGGCGAAAGGCCCGCGCTGGTCGGGCCGCGAAGCCTGGGCTCGGTGCCCTGGTCCTCCAGGGTCTGTGTTCTGCTCTTGGCTTAAAGTCCTGCGGATTCACGAACAAGCAACGTGGCCCAAAAAGTCTCGGCACCCTGATTATGAAATAAGAGCTTCGGAGTCTGAGACACACTTTTGTCCAAGAAATCCCAGCTATGTCCTCTACCCCAAAAAACCCTCTCAAGACCCCCCCACGTTACGATAGTGCAGGGGTCCGGGAGGGACAGAACATGTCCGTAAGTTTCGAGACCCCTCAAAACTCTTTTCCAAGGAAATCCTACCACCATGGTGTGACTTCGCATTCGCCAGTGATATTGGTCGCTAGTTTCTACCATCCTCAGTGCCTCCTTTGGAGAAGGCAAGCCGCTGCACGGACAGCACCGGTCTGCGCCTCAAGGAGCATCTGCACGGCTTCCAGCTGACCTGCCATGGCTGCTGCCTGAAGGGCATTGTAGCCTTGGTGGCCGTCTTAGGTGAACGCAAGGCCTAGCACTAACTACTTTGACTGGGGAGAACTGCTCTTAAGTCCGTTCACAGGGCCCTCAAGAACATTTCTTGGAAGTCATGACAAGATGAGATTTTGGAACCTCGTTTTGCTCACATGACTCAGATGGCATTTCTTTGCCAGTATGATCGATATATTGAACCATCACCGGAACTGTTTGTGCTGTGGACGAATGTTGGATGGATCAAAGCAGGGGATCAAGACTGGCACGTTGGAAATAGAGGTCGGAAGAACACTTGATAAATGGACCTGCAACCTGAGTGGCCTCTATTTCGGACCACCAACCACCTAAATATTACCCTTTCCTCTCAAGACAGGGGTCAAATGGGATCTATATAAATAAGATTAGATGATTAGATGCATGGATCGTGTCATTTTGTGGAAAGGTGTATGGTCCATACAGCACGCATGAATCCGCAAGTAATTAATTTCCAAGATGAATCCTATTTCAGTTTGTGTTCTGCGGCTTTTCACAATGGTTCTAACTTTCTTGGTGTGAGTGTGTGTGTGTGCCCCTTGTAGTCACAGGGACTCAGTTGAATTGTTTCTTCAGCAGGGGGGCGCAGCAGATGCAAGGGACTGCGCCTAACAAAGCTACCTTGCATCTGGGAAGCAGAGCCTGATCAGCTCTGTGTACCTGCTGGCCTTTTAACATTTGCTGGGTTGAGCCTGACCTTCTGCAGACATGCACGCTACGTCGTCACTTCGACCTGATCGCCGACCTCGATCTTACGCTTTGGGCCACCTTTCCTTTTAAAGACCCCCAGGATTCGATGGCTTCCTACTGGCACTCTTAGGAAATGGAACCCTAGGCCGGCGTGTGGCACCGCTGTCCGTCCGTACGCATATCCATAAGTGTGTCTGGCCTCGTGCCAGTCATTCCAAGTTGGCTCATGCCTGTACGTGACCGCAGCGGTCAAAGGTGGCAGCCTTCGGGCAAGCCGTACGTGGTCGCAGCAACCAAAGCTTGTTCAAGGTTCATTGGAACCTGTCGCGAGCTTAGTCCCCCCTCCT